GAGCAAGCGGCGGCTTCAAAACGGGTTAGATTAATGAGAGATAAAAGTGTTTGACCGGGCTGTACTTTTAATAAGCCGTGCCAAACTATACATATTTTATGTCGTCCTCTGTGGTGATGAGATTTGGAGCTGGAATGTGCTGCTCCACCACCACGGTTGTGTGTCCTTCCACCGCCGGGCAGAGATGTGAGAAGCAAAGCCAAACAGCTCGCTGAAAAGACCACACAGCGCGCTCGACCCTTGACCCGGCTTGCATACTTTGCGGCCCCGTCAGCTTTGTCCTTCTTGTCCATGGCATTTACTGGAACCAAACGGCCACGGATGGCTTCCTCGAGATTAAATGTTGACTCTCTCCAAGACTGACAATTTACCTCAGGTTTGCTCCTGACAGCAGGAGATGGTGAATAAACACGGCAGAGCTCCATAAGAGAGGCGACATATGCATGCCGAGGCTTGAGGACACAGCCAATGCAATCATCGCGCCCCCAGCGCGGCATCCATCAGCCCGCTGATGGATTCCATTAATAAAAGACCTTTGGTGTTGTATCCTCTGTTCAGCATGTACTCCTTCAGCGCCACCAAAATAATATTGACCTAATCATTTCTCCGCCCCTGCAGCGCTGGCTTGGAACCTGAAATACCATTGTTATTTATCCTATAATGAGATGTTGACATTTACAGATAAATTGAAAGAAGAGTTTGAACAATAATCTTTTATGAGTACATCGTTAAATAAAAAAAAAGATATGCCGCACAATAGGCTTTTGTGATTGCTTTACACAATAAACAACAAGAGAGGCCACTTCTTAATTGAAAAGTTCTGCACACAGTGTGGGCATACTCATTTATTTATTTTTCCAGTTCAAACACTACTAATAATTCAAATTGCCCAAATGTAATCTTTTTTTTAAAAACTATTGCTGAAGTGAGTAATACAGTAGCTGTACTTCCTCCTAAGCTCAGGGTCAGGTGTGGGGTATGTATTAAAAATCTTGTAGCGTCGAATAAGTTCTGGCAAACCGTCTGACAGCTCAAGAAAAGAGAGGCAGGCCTTTGCTCTGACTTTTTATCATCAGCGATAGTTAGCTGCTGACCTCAGCTGGAGTTCGCGCAAGTGAAGAATTCCTGAACCCAAATGTCATCCGAGAGGAAGACGCGCCGGCTGACTCTTGCTGAGCCTCACCGGCGTCCCCGGAGCAGTTTACCCAGTTAGTTAAGAGGCCCTGCAGCTGCACGGGGCTGCTGGGAATGGAGGAAATTCACCGGCTCTGGCTGTTTTCTGGCTGTCACTGGTAACACGCCTCTTCAGTGTCACTTGGAGTTCAAGCACCTGGAACAGACCAGTGTGACAAGGGTGCTGACAAGGAGGCTCCAGCTGACTGATGAATCCAAGACTCAGGAGGGGGAATGTGGCTTCCAGAAAGGTTCATCAGCTCTTTACCGTTACATGGACACTTTGTCACCAGAGTTCACCCATTCAGTTTGTGTTTTGTACAGCTTACATTAGTATTCCTTGAGTTTTTTTTAATTTTATTTTTATTTTGTAGGATTGTGAGAGAAGTATGTGGCATTGAAAAGAACTCAATCATGGCAAAAGCATGTGGTTTAACTTCCAGCATTGAAATGAGGGTATTCTTGGTGAAGGCCATCTATTATTGACAATTCTGTTCCTTTCAGTGACTGAATTTCAAGGCAGAACTGAGAATGTCCCATTTAGTATTTTTTAAGGTCTCAACTGGGACACAGGTGTTTTGAATGTGTGCAGCTTTGATAATCCGAAGCCTGTCTGTAACAAGCTACAAAATCTTTATTGGAATCATTTAAAAGGTTTTCGTTAAACTTTGGGCGAATTGTGGAAGACGGACATTTCCTGTGGAGCTTATTTATGTTTAAATTATTTGTGATAGATTTGTGCAAAGTATAGGTCAATCTGATTGCCGTTTCCTTTAATGGCACAAACACATTTTGTATTTTACAAATGAAGTACATTGGGTTTTTTTTTTTAATGAGATTTAATAGTTATTGACGGGTTTCAGTGTAGAATTGCCAGATTTATTTATTTATTTATTTTATCAAGTGGTAGTGGCAGTACTGTATACAACTCTATTTGATTACAATGCATGGTAAAGCTGTTTGGAAGGTGTAGCAAGCTAAACTCGGTGCTACTCTACGAAATGGAGCAAACCAAGCTACTCAAAAGTGGCAAAAGTACTGTAGCTTACTGCATCAGAAGCTACGTTTTTATGTTTAATTATGTGAATTTGTTGTGAAAAACACTGTGAACAAGCTGCTGGCTGTTCTAGTGGTTGGCATGTAAGGTCAAGGTCATATGGAAGACAATTATAAAAGATGTGGAGCCATTCAGCCATTAGTGAGAGTATTAGTGTATACGTTCCCCTTTACAATTACATTACTCTTTGCTGATGATGTAGCGCTGTTCGTTATGAGACATCCGGCATGCCTCGAGGTGTTCTGCTGCTGAATTTGACATGACAGCGATGAAAGTCAGCACAATGAAGACACAGTACGGTGCCAGAAGCATGACCTTTAGTCTTTTGTCATGTATCCACTACAACTGTGTTGGTTGTCCTGAGGAGTGTTTCTCAGCTGGCGTGCTGAAAACGGTTGTGTAACATCTTCCCTGGCTTTTGAAAGTAACCCAGATGAGGTCATAGAAAAGTAATCAGGTTTATCTAATTTTGGGCTTGAGCCTGTGCTACAAATTGGGGTCTGGGGTTTGCACCAGCACCATTTAGAAAGCAGGAGGATGTAATGAGAAACGCTAAAGACTTGCATTGTGGGCTGCAGTGTTTTCAGAATCCTCCAATTTCCTAAGTGCAAAACTTACTCACTGGACTAACCCTTTAGGTTTGCAGCGTTCATCTTACAAACATTGGCATTGTGTACCTGATTCCTTCCAGAAACTATCCGTCTTCGGTCTATTGCACTGACAATAGGAATATAGAACCCTCCTTGCATGTTAAAAAAAATAAATTCAGCTCAGTTCTTCTTGATGTTTCTCATCTGGAGTCAACATGATTCGACGCTCTTGGCAGACTGGATATATTAGTGTAGTACAGATGTTCCAACCTCACGTGAAGCTTCAGTTCTTTACTCTTTTAACACCAAATATCAAGAACCGGGAAAAGAATTCCCTGAAACGCCTTCGTTACTGAGGTGTTTTGTCATGTATGAGGTGATGTGCACTCTGCTAAATGCTGACAGCTAAAAACGGTCCGTCTGCCCGTCTTTAGACACCAAACAGTGGCCTTCCCCTAAGATACATGTCAGTTTCTGTGATCACTCTGATGCTCACCATGTTGAAGGGGTTGATGGCCATCAGACAGCTCTGACTTCAAACAGGATTTTTCAAGGTTGCTTACTTGTCATGATAATTTTAATTTCTTTCTCTTTAGAGATGCTCAAGGATTATTTTGTTGGAGCTGTACTTTGAGGAGGGGTCTTAAAGTCGTCTTTAAACTCTTGACTCGCTCTTCTGAGATTCAAACTCTGTCACAATCAGATTCCTGCGGAGGTGACTACAAAAGTTTACTGATAAAAATGCAGTTTGTCTGTCGTCTTTGTAAACCTGCACAGTATGTCTGTCCATGGAACATCATAGCAACTCCTATTAATAAGTTTTCTTCACTCTAGCTGCGAGAAACAAAACTTTACTTTTATAATGGTAGCCCACATGCTCCAAGACGAGCAACGTTTGATCATCTCCGCTGATCTTTGGTGCGCCACTAGATTTAAAGAAGGAAGCTTTATATGGTCATTAAAAAGGACTGATGTGACAGCGCGGCTCTTGATACACGACCTCGGCTCCTGCTATTGATCCTCGGAGAACAAAAACCTGTCGGATTCTTTAAACTTAAAGCCACGATTTGCATGCTCTTAATGGCGGTGAGAGGGAACTGTTAAACAAATTTCAGCTTTAATACCCAGATGTCAGGTAATGCAGTTTGCCATCCAGTTTCACGGCGAACATGCAAGAACTACCAAACCGTCTGTGCTGGTTTTATTCTGGAAAAGCAAAAAAGAATAAAATGAAACACAACGTAGAAGCATTGAGTCTTCAGTCACTGATGTCTTAGTTGTGGTTTGAGTCTAGTAGAAGGTTTCCACTGCAGCTGAACATCTTTATGAGACACATTTAGGAAGTTTTGCATGAATCTTTGGCGAAAATGTAGCTGACAAATGTTTCCTGACGACCCATTTAGCTCAACCGCAGTGATGGATTTCTGGACAGAAAACATATGAGAGTCCATTTGGTGCATCATTCCTGATTTATTAATTCAAACACATTTGGTGATAGCTGCAGCCTGTTTCCTATGTGAAATGTGTTCAGCTTGTTATTTTTGGGCATTTTAATGGAAAATTGCTAGTTTCATTTTTAATGACCATTACACTAGTTAGCAAGTCACACTGCCATTACAGTAAGTGGCAGCATTTCATTTCATTCCATTATTTGTGGCGAAATGCAAATCATGATGGGTTTTTGTAACATAATTCATGCACAAATGGTGCATGTTTTGATCCTTTGATCTGATTTGAATGTTTGCCCAATAGACATCATGTATTTGCCTGTTTTGTTTGGACAAATCAGCCACAACATGACAGCGAAAATTTACATGGCTGAAATACTGAATATTTGATGAGATTTCCCTTTTTCTAAGTGCATCTGATATTTATACAATACAGTAAATAACATGAGGGACATAAAATGTACCAAAATGTGAGTTTATATTCCAATCCAGTTCAATCAATTTGGCTTGTTATCTCTGAATAGGTAATGAAAAGCATCAACCTCGCTTGTGTAACCATCATTTAATAATTGCTAGTGTAACAATCATGTAAGACTGAAGCCCTAGAGTCATCCTTTGTTACGCCTGGCAACAACACTGAAATATTGAAGATATTTTGGCTTCAATAGGTTATTTACAGACTTATAAAGCTGCCTTTTACACTCCTCGTCTTTTTTTATTTTCCCCCGACAGCTACACTCAGACGTGGACAAAGGAGATGGCAAGGTGAAGTACGTGTTATCTGGCGAGGGCGCCACCTCCATCTTCACCATTGATGAGAACACAGGAGACATCCACGCCACGAAGCGCCTTGATCGAGAGGCGCAGGCTTACTACACCCTTCAAGCTCAAGCCGTAGACCGACTGACCAATTTACCCGTCGAGCCCAGGTCTGAGTTTGTGGTCAAGGTCCAGGACATCAACGATAATGAACCCAAGTTTCTAGATGGACCGTACCTGGCAGGGGTACCGGAGATGTCGCCCTTAGGTGAGCCTCCCGTTATTCGATTTAACCATCATCCCCCTTTTTCATATTTCCCCCCAGTATTTTTCTCTAAACTCCAACTCTCCCTCTGACTTTCTCTTTGACTTTCCCCCGCTCTAACATGTGCATCTGATAATTTTCCACTTGGCTGAATTCGTCTTCATCTCTCCCAGTGTTCGCTTTATGAGACTCGATACGTGATAATCACATTGGGCCCAATTTAAACTACACGAAGCTCTTCTTGTTCACGAGCCCCACATCAGTCGAGGTCCAGGTTAAGCCACTTTGATTTGGGCACCTCTTGGGCAGAGCATGCTTGGTCTCTTTTTCCTTTTCACTAATCTGCTGATAAAGGATAAGCACATAAGGGTTTTGGAGCTCTCAGATCATTTCAATTCAGTCGTCGAAAACGTGATTATGTACGGAGATTGAAACGCTGAGATTCCCTTGGAACTTCAGTCAAGGAAAGAACATTTTATTTGGGTAGCGCGTTTAGTCATTCAAAGTAATTCACAAAAGGCATTCAGAATAAAATAATAGAACACAAAAAAAGCAAAGTAAGAAGCGAACAAGAAGTCAGAATAGCAGAAATCAGAGACACAAATCTAATCTGCAGCTGATTAACAGATATATAAAGTGACTGTTAATGAATCGACGTGTTTATAGCCTTGATTTAGTGCCTCAAAAGCTCTGGAAATTTGGGTTTAGGATATGTCAGTTCGGTTTAATAAAATTTAATTTATATAACACTACCAATTCACAGCATCTCATAGCACTTAATCTAGTAAGAGGAATTTTAAACAGAGAAACTCAACAAATCCTAAGTTTCCTTTGGATTCCCAGTCAGTGAGAAGGAACAAAAATCTCCTGCATTCCTGGGAAGGACAAACAAACCCAGACAGAACCGGATATTTATAACTAGGCAGCTAAAATCAGCTTTAAACTGTTTTATTTCTACTAATATGCAGACACATGGCAGATGACCTTAGTAATGTGCAGGTGTTGTGGGTGGAAATCAGAGAAAAACTCAACTGACGACTGATATTACCTTTGAATAGATATTTTTTAAACTGATTTCTATTTAGTTAATTTGATATAAACAAACTATTCTGTTTAAAATTTGAAATCACTTGCTTGCCAGATGTTTGTTAGTATCTACCTTTTATCAAGTGCTGCTCCAATTACTCACTGACCTATAAGTTTGAAAGCCTTCAGCCTTGCTAGCAGCTCTGTCGGCCTATATTTAACTGCACCGGCGCTCCAGGGCAAAATACTAACCGCAGCACGCTCATAAGGTCAATTCTCGAAGACGTTTTAAAGGTGATCATGCTCGCCGCTCTGCTTTAGCACGTTAGCATGCTAGCCCTTGCTAATTAGAAGTAGAACTGAAGCCAGCAGGAATGTCACGATGGGTTCTGCGTGGTCGAAACAAATTTAGAAATTAGGCCTCATGACGGCGCTCGGGGAAAAGTCAGATGGTCGTCAAAGTTAGGACGAATCATTGTGTCGGGAGCGTGAATGTCAAAATATCATCGTAATCAATCAGTCAGCGCTCGTTGAGACATTTAGTCAGGATGTCACCAAAGTGGTCGGGATGGATCCTCAGGGAACCATGAACGTCTGATCCAAAGAATGAGAGAGTCACCAAAGATACCTTCAAGTTTCACTGCAATACAGCGAACAAATTATCCTAAAAAATAACTAAAATATCATCCTGCATCCTGAAACGTAAGTGTAATACTACATTATTTAAGATTCATTCTCTAAAGAACATTAATATCAATTTTATTACATTCTCTTCCTATAGTTAGATCATGCAGATTGCAGTCTGGACCAGAACCGCCACAGAGCGAGTGCAGCTTAAAGCATAATACAGCCCAATGTAACCGTCCTAAGAACTCTGCACTTCACATTCTGTTGATCACATTAGCATTTATTATCGCCGATATATACCTTTTATCTGTCTGTTTTTAAAAAACACTCCTGAAGGAAACCATCATATCAGACCTTGTCTCTAACTGGCTGCATGGTCAAGATTTCCTCCAAGGTTTCAAACAGGTCTCGCTCATGCAAAAAATACGAGTAAATGCAAATGAGTGACAACAACATCCTGAGGCCAGTCAACTCAGCAGGTGTATGAGGAACACAGTGAGAGAGGAAGACTGACCTCCATATTGATAAGGCATGGTATGTGCTGTTTACATAGATATATTTATAATGTTTAATCAGTTTACCAAAGCCGGCTGTGCTTATTTTTTGTGGGTTTGATGATTTTTGGCCAATGAGAAACGGCTGCTGCTGAGCATAAAATGCTTTTTCATGCTGTTTTTTTAAAATCAACCAGACCCACTGTATTGTGATGTGAAGTCTGATGTGCCTTCATTTACATATTTATCCCTTCACATATGTCAGCGCAGACCTCGAGGCCCAGAAATGTTGATGAGTGACGCATGTTTGAAAAACTAACTCAAGCAAACTTAAGGTCTGAATCAGGCTGGAAGGCCGACGGCATTTTCTTCACCAAATTGGGCTCAGAGTTCATGGTAGCCTATACTTCCAGGTAGCTGGCTGCTGAAAATGTCTCAGAAAAAAATGTCTGATCCAGATGAATACATTCCTGTCCATCCATTATCCTGCCACTTCACAGCGGCGACACAGTAAGCAGAGCAGCACAGACATCCTTAACTTCCTCCAGCTCCTCCTAGGGGTTCCCAAAGCCCTCCAAGGCATGCTGGGAGCTGTGGTCTAATCACAAGTGAGCTGTGACTTGTGGGATGGAGACAGAAATGAACTCGGGTGTCAAGAGACAGAAAATGTGGTCTGGGCTTTTCTTTTGATTAAAAAAGAAAAAAAATACAGCATTTGAGATAATTTTAAACCTAAAGAAAGGCTGCATGTGAAGACTCAATGGGAATGCTCAGTTTTTTTGCGCGCAAATATACACGACAGGGCACAATCAGCATCGCATGGAAGTGCTTGAGAATGACTTGACCCGAGACTATATCCACTTTAGTTGGTGAACTAAATATACTGTCATTTCAAAACACTTTAGACACATTCTGGTAACAGTCTGCAGGGAAAACTGCAATAGCAGCTCTTGGCTGCTCTCTGGAGAAAACGGAGTAATTCTGTACTCAAGTAAAAGCAGCGAGCAGCAGCAGTAGCAGACAGGAGTTAGGTGGCATCACTGAACGCTGTCAGAGCTGTTAGTGGAGCGTTGCTGGTTGAGGAGGAACTGGCAGAAATTGGGGAAGTGATCTCTGTATTTTAATGC